CTCCCAGACCTTAAAGAGGATAGGGGGAGACAGGGAGATTGTCTCCCTTACTCTTGCTGAAGAAATCAGGGAGATATGTCTACCTCCCTCATGTTCAAATAAGAGATTGTCTCTCTTCTTCGTTCGATAAATGAAGGAGAGAGGGAGTGTGAGAGAGAGAGAGAGAGAAGGGGAAACTCCTGTATTATCGTTAGCTCATTCAAAGAGGCTTAATTAAGGCTGAGAGAGCAGGTGTCTCTCTCAGCCAGGTGAAAGAGGCATCAAGGCATTTTTATATTATATATATATATATATATATATATATATATATATATATATATATATATATATATACACACACAGTGTATACAAAGGAAGAGATACATGTAAAGGTCTTAGAAGAGAGAATATTCTCTCTATCTCTCTCTCTCTATCTCTCTCTCTCTCTCTCTCTCTCTCTCTCTCTCTCTCTCTCTCTCTCTCTCTCTCTCTCTCTCTCTCTCTCTCTCTCTCTCTCTCTCTCTCTCTCTCTCGGATCAAACAATGTAAGAAAGTAATTATATTTTCTTACCTGGTTCTTCTCAGGTGAGATCACTGCCATGATGTTCACTGATTGTCTTCGGAGAACAGGTAAGTCATCACCTGAGTGCTGGACGCTAGGTCAGTCACATTCGAATTAGATGGAGATCAGATATGTTATATACTGATTAGTGAACTGATTGGTAAGAGGACTGGTAAGTCATTCACTGATTGGCTTACATGACAGGTAAGTCATTCACTGATTGGCTTACATGACAGGTAAGTCATTCATTGATTTATAGGACCTTTTAATACCTTGGGAGAATATTGTAGCCTTGGGAGAATATTGTAGCCTTGGGAGAATATTGTAGCCTTGGGAGAATATTGTAGCCTTGGGAGAATATTGTAGCCTTGGGAGAATGTTGTAGCCTTGGGAGAATATTGTAGCCTTGGGAGAATATTGTAGCCTTGGGAGAATATTGTAGCCTTGGGAGAGAATATTGTAGCCTTGGGAGAATATTGTAGCCTTGGGAGAATATTGTAGCCTTGGGAGAATATTGTAGCCTTGGGAGAATGTTGTAGCCTTGGGAGAATGTTGTAGCCTTGGGAGAATATTGTAGCCTTGGGAGAATATTGTAGCCTTGGGAGAATATTGTAGCCTTGGGAGAGAATATTGTAGCCTTGGGAGAATATTGTAGCCTTGGGAGAATATCGTAGCCTTGGGAGAATATTGTAGCCTTGGGAGAATATTGTAGCCTTGGGAGAATATTGTAGCCTTGGGAGAATATTGTAGCCTTAGGAGAATATTGTAGCCTTGGAAAGGATATGTTCGTACAAACAGGATATTATACATGAAGTGGTAAACCCGTGTGGGTCTAACATAGTGTATGGTGGAGGCTTGATCTACCATGTGTTAAGGCAGTTGGAGCATCTACCATAACATCCTCTTTAGGCCGTGTTTTTTCCCCTCTCTCGCGATAGCCCTAAGCACGCAGCCTATCCGACGTAGGATCAATGTCTGGCATTATAGGGAAATCGGATAAAACTTGACGTTTTGCTCCTGGAGAGCGAAACGTTGCCACAATAAAATGTCACATTAGTTACACTTGTGTCCTTTTACCTAACATATTGTCGTTAATTCTACCAATATTATTAAATAAACCTGAAAATCCCTCAGGTCATTTGATCAACTAGGCTGTGGTTCGCACGTTGTATTGCGTGTCACAGGTAGTAACAGCCTGGATAATCAGGCGTTATTCCACCAGGAGGCTTGGTCTGGGACCGGATTGCAAGCGTGATGACTCAACGAATACGTTATTCAACTATCCCTCAGGTTGGCATATATCAGCAACCCTTAATATGTACGATAACGTACGCTCTATTTGCGTACGATAACGAACGCTCTATATTCGTACGATAATTGACGCTCTATTTGCGTTCGATAACGGATGCTCTATTTGCGTACGATAACGGATGCTCTATTTGCGTACGATAACGGACGCTCTATGTGCGTACGATAACGGACGCTATTTGCGTTCGATAACGGACGCTCTATATGCGTACGATAACGGACGCTCTATATGCGTACGATAAAGGACGCTTTATATGCGTACGATAACGGACGCTTTATATGTGTACGATAACGGACGCTTTATATGCGTTCGATAACGGACGCTCTATATGCGTACGATAACGGACGCTCTATATGCATTCGATAACGGACGCTCTATATGCGTACGATAACGGACGCTCTATATGCGTTCGATAACGGGTGCTCTATATGCGTACGATAACGGACGCTATATGCGTACGATAACGGACGCTCTATATGCGTACGATAACGGACGCTCTATATGCGTACGATAACGGACGCTTTATAAGCGTTCGATAACGGACGCTCTATATGCGTACGATAACGGACGCTTTATATGCGTTCGATAACGGACGCTCTATATGCGTACGATAACGGACGCTTTATATGCGTACGATAACGGACGCTTTATATGCGTTCGATAACGGACGCTCTATATGCGTACGATAACGGACGCTTTATATGCGTTCGATAACGGACGCTCTATATGCGTACGATAACGGACGCTCTATATGCGTTCGATAACGGACGCTTTATATGCGTACGATAACAGACGCTTTATATGCGTTCGATAACGGACGCTCTATATGCGTACGATAACGGACGCTCTATATGCGTACGATAACGGACGCTTTATATGCGTACGATAACGGACGCTTTATATGCGTACGATAACGGACGCTTTATATGCGTTCGATAACGGACGCTCTATATGCGTACGATAACGGACGCTCTATATGCATTCGATAACGGACGCTCTATATGCGTACGATAACGGACGCTCTATATGCGTTCGATAACGGGTGCTCTATATGCGTACGATAACGGACGCTCTATATGCGTACGATAACGGACGCTCTATATGCGTACGATAACGGACGCTCTATATGCGTACGATAATGGACGCTTTATATGCGTTCGATAACGGACGCTCTATATGCGTACGATAACGGACGCTCTATATGCATTCGATAACGGACGCTCTATATGCGTACGATAACGGACGCTCTATATGCGTACGATAACGGGTGTTCTATATGCGTACGATAACGGACGCTCAATATGCGTACGATAACGGACGCTCTATATGCGTACGATAACGGACGCTCTATATGCGTATGATAACGGACGCTTTATATGCGTACGATAACGGACGCTTTATATGCGTTCGATAACGGACGCTCTATATGCGTACGATGACGGACGCTCTATATGCATTCGATAACGGACGCTCTATATGCGTACGATAACGGACGCTCTATATGCGTTCGATAACGGGTGCTCTATATGCGTACGATAACGGACGCTCTATATGCGTACGATAACGGACGCTCTATATGCGTACGATAACGGACGCTCTATATGCGTACGATAATGGACGCTTTATATGCGTTCGATAACGGACGCTCTATATGCGTACGATAACGGACGCTCTATATGCATTCGATAACGGACGCTCTATATGCGTACGATAACGGACGCTCTATATGCGTACGATAACGGGTGTTCTATATGCGTACGATAACGGACGCTCAATATGCGTACGATAACGGACGCTCTATATGCGTACGATAACGGACGCTCTATATGCGTATGATAACGGACGCTTTATATGCGTACGATAACGGACGCTTTATATGCGTTCGATAACGGACGCTCTATATGCGTACGATGACGGACGCTCTATATGCATTCGATAACGGACACTCTATATGCGTACGATAACGGACGCTCTATATGCGTTCGATAACGGGTGCTCTATATGCGTACGATAACGGACGCTCTATATGCGTACGATAACGGACGCTCTATATGCGTATGATAACGGGTGCTCTGTTTGTTGATGTTGTACAATGAGGAGACTGCTGAGAGAGTTGTCAGGGACCCTGGTTGTGATGTCTGGACCCTAGCTTAGTGGTCCACTGGGACCAGGCCACAAAGACGCCTTTAATGACCTCTGAGAACACCAACAGCTAGGTAAACCTTGACAAGTCTTAGAGTTCACACCAGCCTTTAATTGAATGATATATATATATATATATATATATATATATATATATATATATATTATATATATATATATATATATATATATATATATATATATATATATATATATAATATAATTATATATAATATATATATGCTGCTTGTGGACTAGTATACCAAACAGGGATGAGGATGAAAATTAGCCTAGAAGCTCCCAGGACACCGAAAGTCCTCGGATTGGGGTAAATTAGCTAGCTCTGCTGGCTGCGCCATCTTTGTAGGATTGGTCTTGTGGGTTAAGGCGTCATATGCTTCTAGCTCACTGTGAGGCGGACCAGTTCAACATGGGTTCGACTCCTTGGCTAGTGCATTGTTGTTATTGATCAATACCACTTATTCGTGGTTACAATAATTTATATATATATATAGTGTGTAGGTAGGTTCGTGTGTGCACGTAAAACAATAAACATTATAGAGGTAGACACAAGAAACTCATAATAAGACAACTGTTCCCTCGTAAATCATTGACCTCAAATGACTAAAAGTGAAATGTAAACCCTGAGGTATTTTTATTTATTTGCTGCCCTACCTGGAGGTTCTTCCGGGGGTCAACGCCTCCGCGGCCCGGCCCATGACCTGGTGGTGGATCAGAGACTGATCAACCAGGCTGTTACTGATGGCCGTACTTTGTCCAACGTAGGAACCACAGCCCGGATGATCAGGTACTGTCTTTATGTGTCTGCGAAGTTCCCTCTTGCAGACAGCCTGAGGTCTGTTGGTTATCCCTCGGTTGAACAGTCTTGGGTCCCTGACACTGATTGTGTTTTCAGTTGTATATATTTCAGAATCTGGTTATAAGGTGTTGCAGATGTAGTCTGACATATACAGTACGTACTTATAATAATAATAATAATAATAATAATAATAATAATAATATCTTTATTTATTACAAGTACATGTACAAGGTATACAGTCCTAGCTGACAACAATGACATACTACTATATAGAAAGCTGCTTGTTATGCTCGGCATGTCGGGCAAATTAGGTCAGTGTCCCAGGATGCGACCCACACCAGTCCACTAACACCCAGGTACCTATTTTACTGATGGGGAACATAGACATCAGATGGAAAGAAACACGCCCAATGTTTCTACTCTGGCTGGGAATCGAACCCGGACCCTCGCCGTGTGAAGCGAGAGTGTTAACCACCAGGCCACCTGCTACTTGAACAATCACTTATATTTCGCACTAGTTTCTGATCTCTGCCCATCAGGTGTTCTTTTACAATCAGAAAATAAATAATATATAAGAATGTTGGTCAAACTGAACATTACTGAACGTTCATTATTGTACGAAAGTTGGATTTTCAGTGGTAAACAGAGACTTAACTGCGGGTTTAAATTCTATCTACTACACCTTGGTCATTAAGGTTGATCTGTTGGTTATTTGGGTTTAAATTCTGTTACAAGAAGGTCATTAACGCTGGTTTGTTGGTTATTTAGGTTTAAATTCTGTTACAAGAAGGTCATTAACGCTGGTTTGTTGATTGTTTGGGTTTAAATTTTGTTACAAGAAGGTCATTAACGCTGGTTTGTTGATTGTTTGGGTTTAAATTCTGTTACAAGAAGGTCATTAACGCTGGTTTGTTGATTGTTTGGGCTTAAATTCTGTTACAAGAAGGTCATTAACGCTGGTTTGTTGATTGTTTGGGTTTAAATTCTGTTACACGAGGGTCATTAAGACTGATTTGTTGGTTAATTGGGCTTAAATTTTATCTACTGCACCAGGGGGTCATTAAGGCTGATTTGGTTGTTAATTGAGTTTAAAGTCTCTTACACGAAAGGTCATTAAGGCTGCATGTCACCTGTTCACCAGTCAAGAATATTTTAATATATAGAACACAGATTAATGTAATGTATATATACTGACACACACATATACACTTCTAGGTGTATATACACTGAGAGGCATACATCTGTAGGTGTATATACACTGAGAGGCATGCATCTGTAGGTGTATATACACTGAGAGGCATGCATCTGTAGGTGTATATACACTGAGAGGCATGCATCTGTAGGTGTATATACACTGAGAGGCATAGACATGTAGGTGTATATACACTGAGAGGCATACATCTGTAGGTGTATATACACTGAGAGGCATACATCTGTAGGTGTATATACACTGAGAGGCATACATCTGTAGGTGTATATACACTGAGAGGCATAGACCTGTAGGTGTATATACACTGAGAGGCATGCATCTGTAGGTGTATATACACTGAGAGGCATACATCTGTAGGTGTATATACACTGAGAGGCATAGACCTGTAGGTGTATATACACTGAGAGGCATACATCTGTAGGTGTATATACACTGAGAGGCATAGACCTGTAGGTGTGGATATCCTGTGTTATCCTAGGCCTTAAGTCGAGTGGAGCTCACATCAGTGGAGCTTACATCAATGGAGCTCACACCAGTGGAGCTTACATCAATGGAGCTTACATCAGTGGAGCTCACATTAATGGAACTTACATCAATGGAGCTTACATCAATGGAGCTTACATCAGTGGAGCTTACATCAAAGGAGCTTACATCAGTGGAGCTCATCAATGGAGCTCACATCAATGTAGCTCACATCAATGGAGCTCACATCACTGAAGCTCACATCAATGTAGCTCACATCAATGGAGCTCACATCAGTGGAGCTGACATCAATGTATCTCACATCAATGGAGCTCACATCAATGTATCTCACATCAATGGAGCTGACATCAACGTAGCTCACATCAAAGTAGCTGACATCAATGGAGCTGACATCAATGGAGTGCTTGGTTGCAGCACAGTCTTAATTATAATCCACTGTTAAATTACCTCAAGTCACAGTTTTACCATCACCTTCCTTACTGACATTTATGATAACCCAACATAGCTAGTATGACACAACAAAGCCAGTATGATAACACCAACATAGCCAGTATGACACAACAAAGCCAGTATGATAACACCAACATAGCCAGTATGACCCAACAAAGCCAGTATGATAACCCAACATAGCCAGTATGACCCAACAAAGCCAGTATGATAACCCAACATAGCCAGTATGACCCAACAAAGCCAGTATGATAACCCAACATAGCCAGTATGACACAACAAAACCAGTATGATAACACCAACATAGCCAGTATGACCCAACAAAGCCAGTATGATAACCCAACATAGCCAGTATGACCCAACAAAGCCAGTATGATAACCCAACATAGCCAGTATGACCCAACAAAGCCAGTTTTGATAACCCAACATAGCCAGTATGACACAACAAAGCCAGTATGATAACCCAACATAGCCAGTATGACCCAACAAAGCCAGTATGATAACCCAACATAGCCAGTATGACCCAACAAAGCCAGTATGATAACACCAACATAGCCAGTATGACCCAACAAAGCCAGTATGATAACCCAACATAGCCAGTATGACCCAACAAAGCCAGTATGATAACACCAACATAGCCAGTATGACGCATCTCCCACAATGGTTATTATTGATCTAGATACACTTGTACGCTTTACAATTAACACAAAGTGCTGTTTGCAAATAACAAGAGCCGAAGCAGATGTAAAACAGGCGCTTGTGTGTGTATGTTATACAATATTATACACTGTGATAATTCACATTGTAGCTACGATGTCGACTCTTGTTAGTAAATGATTTTCTTGACAGTATCGAAAAAATATAACTTTTCTCTTTTTCCAGAGTTAAGTTTTGTTAAGAAGGGAGAGGAATGTAGAGAGAAGAGGAATAAGGGGAGGAGAGGACTAAGAGGAGAGAAATGTAAGGAGAAGGAAGAAGAATAAGAGAAGAAAGACGAATATTAATAGGGCTAAGAGGAAAGCAAAGAGGAAGTCTGTTGTGGACTTTAAGACGAGAATAATGTTAGCAGAGATATTGTGGAATGAGGGAGATGTAGAAGAAGGTGAAGAGGGAGAAGAAGGTGAAGAGGGAGAAGAAAGTGAAGAGGGAGAAGAAAGTGAAGAGGGAGAAGAAGGTGAAGAGGGAGAAAACGTCTCCATTAGTTTCGTAAGTGTGTTAGAGAATTTTATCACCGCGTGTATCCTGGGATCATGGGGGGGAAGAGGAGGAGGAGGAGGAAGAAAAGAAGAAGAAGAAGAAGAGGAAGATGAAGAAGAGGAGGAGGAGGAGGAAGAAGAAGAGGAGGAGGATCTTGAGTTTGCATCATTACTATTCTCTTTCATTTTGAGTGCTGTTGCTGCTGCTGGTACTACTGTTCCTCCTGTTGCTGCTGCTGTTGCCACTGCCTTTGGTGCTGTTATTCCTACTGACCAACCAAGCTGTGGTTGTTGGTGTGGCTGTGCTGAAGTGTTGGTTGCATGTTCTATCCTCTGTGGGTTGGTCACCCAGCCTAGTGGTGGTTGTCCTGACTGTTGCTTCATTTGGTCTCTCTCCTGGTCTTGGAAAGGCACTGACCAACCTATGGACGCTGTTGGTCCCTCCAAGACCGATTGTGGTGGGTTGTGAGGATGTCCTGATTGTGGTGGGTTGTGAGGATGTCCTGATTGTGGTGGGTTGTGAGGATATCCTGATTGTGGTGGGTTGTGAGGATATCCTGATTGTGGTGGGTTGTGAGGATATCCTGATTGTGGTGGGTTGTGAGGATGTGATTGTGGTGGGTTGTGAGGATGTTGTGATTGTGGGGGGTATTGTGGGAGGTGCTGTGATTGTGGTGTGTATTGTGGGTAGTATTCTGGTTGTGACTGCAGTGGCTGGGGTGGTGGTTGTGGTGGTCCTTGCAGTGGTGGTTGCTGTGGAGAGTGTGGTTCTTGCTGGGGTTCATGAGGTTCTTTAAGGTTGTGAGAGACAGTTAAGAGACTGTCTCTCACCACCAGCTGCTCCTCTATCTCCCTCACATTATCCATCTTCCTCTCCACTTCCTGTTTCCAACACAACAAAACATTAGCTGTGTTGAAGGTTAAGGGGAGGGGCCAGGAGCTGTGACTCGACCCCCTCCCCGCGTACACATCCTCGAATACAAACAAATAAATATTATCAAACTAAATCCTTCACTAAATAATTTATATAAGTCCTGTAACAGTTTATATTTTGTGAGGAATTTCGAGTTTATATATTTATTTTTTTTTACTCTGGTAGCCCGGTCTGAGACCAGTCTTTAATGCTGACTGGTCAACCAGACTGTTGACCAAACAATCCTCTACATAAAGTTACATCCGGCTCTTATAAAGCTCCTCTACATAAAGTTACATCCGGCTCTTGTAAAGCTCCTCTACATAAAGGTACATCCGGCTCTTCTACATAAAGTTACATCCGGCTCTTCTACATAAAGTTACATCCGGCTGTTATAAAGCTCCTCTACATAAAGTTACATCCGGCTCTTATAAAGCTCCTCTACATAAAGTTACATCCGGCTCTTATAAAGCTCCTCTACATAAAGTTACATCCGGCTCTTATAAAGCTCCTCTACATAAAGGTACATCCGGCTCTTCTACATAAAGTTACATCCGGCTCTTCTACATAAAGTTACATCCGGCTGTTATAAAGCTCCTCTACATAAAGTTACATCCGGCTCTTATAAGCTCCTCTACATAAAGTTACATCCGGCTCTTATAAAGCTCCTCTACATAAAGTTACATCCGGCTCTTATAAAGCTCCTCTACATAAAGTTACATCCGGCTCTTATAAAGCTCCTCTACATAAAGTTACATCCGGCTCTTATAGAGCCTTCTACATAAAGTTTACATCCGGCTCTTATAAAGCTCCTCTACATAAAATTACATCCGGCTCTTATAAAGCTCCTCTACATAAAGTTACATCCGGCTCTTATAAAGCTCCTCTACATAAAGTTACATCCGGCTCTTATAAAGCTCCTCTACATAAAGTTACATCCGGCTCTTCTACATAAAGTTACATCCGGCTCTTATAAAGCTCCTCTACATAAAGTTACATCCGGCTCTTATAAAGCTCTTCTACATAAAGTTACATCCGGTTCTTATAAAGCTCCTCTACATAAAGTTACATCCGGCTCTTATAAAGCTCCTCTACATAAAGTTACATCCGGCTCTTATAAAGCTCCTCTACATAGTTACATCCGGCTCTTATAAAGCTCCTCTACATAAAGTTACATCCGGCTCTTATAAAGCTCCTCTACATAAAGTTACATCCGGCTCTTCTACATAAAGTTACATCCGGCTCTTATAAAGCTCCTCTACATAAAGTTACAAACCGGCTCTTATAAAGCTCCTCTACATAAAGTTACATCCGGCTCTTCTACATAAAGTTACATCCGGCTCTTATAAAGCTCCTCTACATAAAGTTACATCCGGCTCTTATAAAGCTCCTCTACATAAGTTAAATCCGGCTCTTTTACATAAAGTTACATCCGGCTCTTATAAAGCTCCTCTACATAAAGTTACATCCGGCTCTTCTACATAAAGTTACATCCGGCTCTTATAAAGCTCCTCTACATAAAGTTACATCCGGCTCTTATAAAGCTCTTCTACATAAAGTTACATCCGGTTCTTATAAAGCTCCTCTACATAAAGTTACATCCGGCTCTTCTACATAAAGTTTTCATCCGGTTCTTATAAAGCTCCTCTACATAAAGTTACATCCGGCTCTTCTACATAAAGTTACATCCGGTTCTTATAAAGCTCCTCTACATAAAGTTACATCCGGTTCTTATAAAGCTCCTCTACATAAAGTTACATCCGGCTCTTATAAAGCTCCTCTACATAAAGTTACATCCGGCTCTTCTACATAAAGTTACATCCGGTTCTTATAAAGCTCCTCTACATAAAGTTACATCCGGCTCTTCTACATAAAGTTACATCCGGTTCTTATAAAGCTCCTCTACATAAAGTTACATCCGGTTCTTATAAAGCTCCTCTACATAAAGTTACATCCGGCTCTTATAAAGCTCCTCTACATAAAGTTACATCCGGCTCTTCTACATAAAGTTACATCCGGCTCTTATAAAGCTCCTCTACATAAAGTTACATCCGGTTCTTACAAAGCTCCTCTACATAAAGTTACATCCGGCTCTTATAAAGCTCCTCTACATAAAGTTACATCCGGCTCTTATAAAGCTCCTCTACATAAAGTTACATCCGGTTCTTACAAAGCTCCTCTACATAAAGTTACATCCGGCTCTTATAAAGCTCCTTTACATAAAGTTACATCCGGCTCTTATAAAGCTCCTCTACATAAAGTTACATCCGGCTCTTATAAAGCTCCTCTACATAAAGTTACATCCGGCTCTTCTACATAAAGTTACATCCGGTTCTTATAAAGCTCCTCTACATAAAGTTACATCCGGCTCTTATAAAGCTCCTCTACATAAAGTTACATCCGGCTCTTCTACATAAAGTTACATCCGGCTCTTATAAAGCTCCTCTACATAAAGTTACATCCGGCTCTTCTACATAAAGTTACATCCGGCTCTTCTACATAAAGTTACATCCGGCTCTTCTACATAAAGTTACATCCGGCTCTTCTACATAGTTTTTCGCGAATACAATTGAAAAAGTGTAGAGAAAATTGAATAACAGAAACGATCAAGGCTTTTCCACTACTCCACTCAACTCCACTCAACTCAACTCCACTCAACTCCACTCCACTCCACTCAACTCAACTCCACTCAACTCAACTCCACTCAACTCCACTCAACTCAACTCAACTCCACTCAACTCCACTCAACTCCACTCAACTCCACTCAAACTCAACTCCACTCCACTCAACTCCACTCAACTCCACTCAACTCAACTCCACTCAACTCCATCAACTCAAATCCATTCAACTCCACTCAACCCCACTCAACTCCACTCAACTCCACTCAACTCCACTCAACTCAAACTCCACTATACTCAAACTCCACTCAACTCCACTCACTCAACTCCACTCAACTCCACTCAACTCCACTCAACTCCACTCAACTCCACTCCACTCAGCTCCACTCAACTCCACTCAACTCAACTCCACTCAACTCCACTCAACTCCACTCAACTCCACTCAACTCAACTCAACTCCACTCCACTCAGCTCCACTCAACTCCACTCAACTCAACTCCACTCAACTCCACTCAACTCAACTCCATTCAACTCCACTCAACTCCACTCAACTCAACTCCACTCAACTCAACTCCACTCCACTCAACTCCACTCAACTCAACTCCACTCAACTCCACTCAACTCCACTCAACTCCACTCCACTCAGCTCCACTCAACTCCACTCAACTCAACTCCACTCAACTCCACTCAACTCACCTCCACTCACCTCCACTCAACTCCACTCAACTCAACTCTGGAGGTACAAAATATTGTACTGTATATACCAGCTTTATTAGAGAAGTGACTGTATATACCAGCTTTATAAGAGAAGTGACTGTATATACCAGCTTTATAAGAGAAGTGACTATATACCAGCTTTATAAGAGAAGTGACTATATACCAGCTTTATAAGAGAAGTGACTATATACCAGCTTTATAAGAGAAGTGACTATATACCAGCTTTATAAGAGAAGTGACTATATACCAGCTTTATAAGAGAAGTGACTGTATATACCAGCTTTATAAGAGAAGTGACTATATACCAGCTTTATAAGAGAAGTGACTATATACCAGCTTTATAAGAGAAGTGACTATATACCAGCTTTATAAGAGAAGTGACTGTATATACCAGCTTTATAAGAGAAGTGACTATATACCAGCTTTATAAGAGAAGTGACTATATACCAGCTTTATAAGAGAAGTGACTATATACCAGCTTTATTAGAGAAGTGACTGTATATACCAGCTTTATAAGAGAAGTGACTATATACCAGCTTATAAGAGAAGTGACTATATACCAGCTTTATAAGAGAAGTGACTATATACCAGCTTTATAAGAGAAGTGACTATATACCAGCTTTATAAGAGAAGTGACTATATACCAGCTTTATAAGAGAAGTGACTATATACCAGCTTTATAAGAGAAGTGACTATATACCAGCTTTATAAGAGAAGTGACTATATACCAGCTTTATAAGAAAAGTGACTATATGCCAGCTTTATAAGAGAAGTGACTATATACCAGCTTTATAAGTGAAGTGACTATATACCAGATTTATAAGAGAAGTGACTATATACCAGCTTTATAAGAGAAGTGACTATATACCAGCTTTATAAGAGAAGTGACTATATACCAGCTTTATAAGAAAAGTGGCTGTATCCATAAATGAGGAATAAAGTATTGACAGAAAAAATGATTAAAACGCGTAATATTGTACTTTCTGGTAGTGTTTACCTGGTACTGGTGAGGTACTGGTGTGGTACTGGTGAGGCACAGGTGCGGTACTATTATGATACTGGTGTCGTTCTGGTGAAGCACAGGTGCGGTACTGGTATGATACTGGTGTCGTTCTGGTGAGGCACAGGTGCGGTACTGGTTTGGTACTGGCGAGGTACTGGTGGGGCACAGGTGCGGAACTGGTGTGGTGCTGGTTTGGTACTGGTGAGGCAAAGGTGCGGTACTGGTATGGTACTGGTGTCGTTCTGGTGAGGCACAGGTGCGGTACTGTTGTGGTACTGGTGAAGTACTGGTGAATCACAGGTTAGGTACTAGTGAGGCACAGGTGAGGCACTGGTGAGGCACAGGTGAGGTACAAGTATGGTACAAGTGTGGTACAGGACAGGTACAGGCAGACAGCGTAGCAGTACTGGGATAATGGTAGCAGATAAGACAATGGGACCACCCAGTTCCTCCTCTTATCAGGCAGACTGTGTCCTTATCTGTGGCCAGAGTTTTATCATCAACACAGAGAGAGAGAAGAGAAAGAGAGAGAGAGATGAAGTGGAAAAACGGGAGAGAGAGAGATATGTATGCAGGAAAAAAGTGAAGGAGAAATGAGAGGGCTCGTAGAAGGAAAGTGAAAGAAATAAGCATACGAAGGAAGGAAGGAAGAACAAGCATAAGAAGTATATATTTTGGCAAAAATTACGGACAATATGTAAAGTAAAAGGACACAAGTACAACTAATGTGACATTTTATTGTGGCAACGTTTCGCCCTCCAGGTACTTTGTCAAGCTGTTACAAAAAATACATGTACACAGAGGGTATATATAGGCTCAGAGTGAGGTGCAATACTAGTGGTAGTAGTAGTAGTGATATAAGTAGTAGTAGTAGATATAAGTTGTGTTACTACTACTACTACTACTACTACTACTACTACTACTACTACTACCACTAGTATTGCACCTCACTCTGAGCCTATATATACCCTCTGTGTCCATGTATTGTTTGTAGCAGCTTGACAAAGTTCCTGGAGGGCGAAACGTTGCCACAGTACAATGTCACATTTTATTGTGTCCTTTTACTTTACAAGCATAAGAAGTAAGAACAACCATAGAAAGTAAGAACAACCATAGAAAGTAAGAACAACCATAGAAAGTAAGAACAACCATAGAAAGTAAGAACAACCATTTGAAAGTAAGAACAACCATAGAAAAAAACCATAGAAAGTAAGAACAACCATAAAAAAGTAAGAACAACCATAGAAAGTAAGAACAACCATATAAAGTAAGAACAACCATAGAAAAAACCCAAACCCTAGAAAGTAAGAACAACCATAGAAAGTAAGAACAACCATAGAAAGTAAGAACAACCATAGAAAGTAAGAACAACCATAGAAAGTAAGAACAACCATAGAAAGTAAGAACAACCATAGAAAGAACAACCATAGAAAGTAAAAACAAAACCCTAGAAAGTAAGAACAACCATAGAAAGTAAGAAACAACCATAGAAAGTAAGAACAACCATAGAAAGTAAGAACAACCATAGAAAGTAAGAACAACCATAGAAAGTAAGAATAACCATAGAAAGTAAGAACAACCATAGAAAGTAAGAACAACCATAGAAAGTAAGAACAACCATAGAAAGTAAGAACAACCATAGAAAGAACAACCATAGAAAGTAAGAACAACCATAGAAAGTAAGAACAACCATAGAAAGTAAGAACAACCATAGAAAGTAAGAACAACCATAGAAAGTAAGAACAAAACCCTAGAAAGTAAGAATAAAACCCTAGAAAGTAAGAACCATAGAAAGTAAGAACAACCATAGAAAGTAAGAACAAAACCCTAGAAAATAAGAACAACCATAGAAAGTAAAAACAACCATAGAAAATAAGAACAACCATAGAAAGTAAGAACAACTAGAAAGTAAGAACAACCATAGAAGTAAGAACAACCATAGAAAAATAAGAACAACCATAGAAAGTAAGAACAACCATAGGAAAGTAAGAAATAACCCTAGAAAGTAAGAACAACCCTAGAAAGTAAGAAAAAACCATATAAAGTAAGAACAACCATATAAAGTAAGAACAACCATAGAAAGTAAGAACAACCATAGAAAGTAAGAACAACCATAGAAAGTAAGAACAACCATAGAAAGTAAGAACAACCATAGAAAGTAAGAATAACCATGAAAGTAAGAACAACCATAGAAAAATAAGAACAACCATAGAAAGTAAGAACAACCATAGAAAAATAAGAACAACCATAGAAAGTAAGAACACCATAGAAAGTAAGAACCATAGAAAGTAAGAAAACCATAGAAGTAAGAACAACCATAGAAAGTAAGAACAACCATGGAAAGTAAGAACAACCATTGAAAGTAAGAACAAAACCCTAGAAAGTAAGAACAACCATAGAAAGTAAGAACAACCATAGAAAGTAAGAACAACCATAGAAAGTAAGAACAACCATAGAAAGTAAGAACAACCATAGAAAGTAAGAACAACCATTGGCAGGTGGCAGTTCTATTGTGGAAGTTTTATTGTGGCAGTTTTATTGTGACAGTTTATATTGTGGTAGTTTTATTGTGACAGTTTTATTGTGGTAGTTTTATTGTGACAGTTTTATTGTGGCAGTTTTATTGTGGCAGTTTTATTGTGGCAGTTTTATTGTGGTAGTTTTATTGCGGTAGTTTTATTGTGGCAGTTTTATTGTGGCAGTTTTATTGTGGCAGTTTTATTGTGACAGTTTTATTGTGTTATTTTTATTGTGGTAGTTTTATTGTGGTAGTTTTATTGTGGTAAGTTTTATTGTGGCGTTTTATTGTGACAGTTTTATTGTGACAGTTTTATTGTGAGTTTTATTGTGGTAGTTTTATTGTTGCAGTTTTATTGTGGCAGTTTAATTGTGACAGTTTTATTGTGGCAGTTTTATTGCGGTAGTTTTATTGTGGCAGTTTTATTGTGATAGTTTTATTGTGGCAGTTTTATTGCGGTAGTTTTATTGTGGCAGTTTTATTGTGATAGTTTTATTGTGGCAGTTTTTATTGTGGCAGCTTTATTGTGGTAGTTTTATTGTGTCAGTTTTATTGTGCAGTTTTATTGTGGCAGTTTTATTGTGATAGTTTTATTGTGGCAGTTTTATTGTGATAGTTTTATTGTGGCAGTTTTATTGTGGTAGTTTTATTGTGGCAGTTTTTTGTGTGTAGTTTTATTGTGACAGTTTTATTGTGGCAGTTTTATTGTGTCAGTTTTATTGTGACAGTGTTTTATTGTGGCAGCTTTATTGTGGTAGTTTTATTGTGTCAGTTTTATTGTGGCAGTTTTTATTGTGGCAGTTTTATTGTGATAGTTTTATTGTGCAGTTTTATTGTGATAGTTTTATTGTGGCAGTTTTATTGTGTAGTTTTATTGTGGCAGTTTTATTGTGGTAGTTTTATTGTGACAGTTTTATTGTGGCAGTTTTATTGTGGCAGTTTTATTGTGACAGTTTTATTGTGGTAGTTTTATTGTGACAGTTTTATTGTGGCAGTTTTATTGTGGCAGTTTTATTGTGACAGTTTTATTGTGGCAGTTTTGTTGTTGCAGTTTTATTGTGGCAGTTTTATTGTGTCAGTTTTTATTGTGACAATTTTATTGTGTCAGTTTTATTGTGGCAGTTTTATTGTGGCAGTTTTATTGTGGTAGTTTTATTGTGGTAGTTTTATTGTGGCAGTTTTATTGTGGCAGTTTTATTGTGGTAGTTTTATTGTGTCAGTTTTATTGTGTCAGTTTTATTGTGTCAGTTTTATTGATAAAAATAGCTTCCTTGACGTAACTGGAGAACGTTCCTACTGAAGAACGTTTTTACCGGAGAACGTTTCTACTGGAGAACGTTCGTACTGGAGAACGTTTTTACCGGAGAACGTTTCTACCGGAGAACACTCCTACTGGAGGACGTTTTTACCCGAGAACGTTTCTACCGGAGAACACTCCTACTGGAGGACGTTTTTACCGGAGAACGTTTCTACTGGAGAACGTTCCTAGCGATCAGAAATAAGCCATAGTAATGTAGTTTTATGCGCTCTTAAGATCTATGTGACTCGAACCTAGCATATTGTATCGGAAGAAACAATAGACGATCTGTACCCGCGAGAAAACAATAGACGATACAACCCTGATACACCGATACGTTTCGGAAACAAAAGAGGATCTCCGAGAATGGAGGAGGGGGAGGGGGATCTCTCCGGAGGAAGACAGAGGCTTCAATCCTCTCTAAAGAAGACTCAACACTCCTCCATCCTGCATGAAACGACTGCAGGGAATTCTGAAGAGGTACTTTAACTCTCTTCATCACCGTCAGAGGAACGGAGGATCGAAGACGGTCCTGAGAGCGATCAGAAGCCTTTCCTCCTCCTCCTTCTCCTACCCCAGCACATATCTCCTGTTATGTTTACATCGTCTATACAACTTGAAAGTGATACAAACATTTTTGGAAACGAGGGTGGAAGGGATGAACTGCCTACCGTCTTTCCCGTTTGAGAAAGAGATAGAGAGGGGAGGAGAAATGGAGAGAGATGGGGAGATAAAAAAGATGGAGATGAGTATTCCGGATTCTGGCGATTTTCTCTGACGCCCAGAACGACCTCATAGTGATGTCCCTAATAATGTACCGAGAGAAACTAAGATATGTAATTCTCATTTACCTCTCTCTCTCTCTCACACGCACACACACACACACATACATGAATGTAATTACATTCAAAACGCTTCTCTCTCTCTCTCTCTCTCTCTCTCTCTCTCTCTCTCTCTCTCTCTCTCTCTCTCTCTCTCTTCACTTCTCTCTCTCTCTCTCTCTCTCTCCCTCTCTCCCATCTCCCCTCTCTGTCTGTCTGTCTCTCTCTCTCTCTGTCGTCTGTCTGTCTCTCTGTCTGTCTCTCTCTCTCTCTCTCTCTCTCTTCTCTCTCTCTCTCTCTCTCTCTCTTCTCTCTCTTTTCTCTCTCTCTCAATCATGATACTTGATAATAATCATATTCCCTCCTATGCTTGTTCCTCTTCCTTCTCTCCTTTGCTTCTTCCTCTCTTCTCTTTATTGATTTCCTAATCACATCTTGAAGATAGGAAGCCAAGAGACCAGATTTGGAGACCAGAGCTAGAGACTGGTATTTTATCATCATTATTAAGAGCATTATTATTGTCGAGTCCATTAATAAAATGTGTTAGCCATATACAGGGATAGGTATGGCAAGGTGTGGCTAGGACCTGTCTGGCAGGGTGTGGCTATGACCTGTCTGGCATGGGACAAGTCTAGCTGGGTGTGACTAGGAC